TTATGATAAGGACGGAAGGGAGAATTATGAAATAATTAAAGAACCTTATACAAAAGTCAGAATAGATGGTGTTACAAAAAACATTAAAGAAGCCACTGATTTAGGCTACTCCGTTGAAATTTATAATGATGAAAATTCAGATTATGTTATTATTTCACAGACAATTACCAACAAAGGCTCAACGGAAAAGAAAATTGACCTTTGCACAGCATTGAATTTAAAAGATTCTATAGATAATGTTGAAGCATCATCCCTTACAAACTTTGGTTATTATCTTTGGTGGGATCAAACAAATGATCTGACACTAGTTCTGCAAAATCATCCTTGGGTTACAGATATCAGTGCCCAAGACTTTGGAATAGAACCTGAGCCAAGATTCTTCACGAACAATGAGAAAATTTTAGAATACGACTCTGGATTTCCTGAAATTCAATGGATCTCATTCTCATGGCTCAACAAGTATATCCAACCAGGAAAGTCTATCACACTTTCTTACATGTTTTATGAAGAGACATATCAACCGCCATTACTTAAACTTGATAAATCTCTGATTTCAGAAGAAACAGATTCCACTGAAGTAATTCAAGTAAAGGGAAGTTTTTATTTCTTAGTTGAACCATACACGGTAGAAGCAGGTTGGGAAATTCATGATTCAAAAGATAAGATAATCAAATATGGCAGCCTTGGCAAATTTACAGTTTCAGAAAAACAAACAAGTATGGATTTTGATGTGTCAATCACACCACCAACAGAACTTGGAAAGTACACATTATATGTTTACACATATACTAATGGTCTTGGCTCATTGCTTTATGAAGAATTCACAATTACAGTTGTTCCACCAAATTATAGACCAAAGTTATACATTGTTCCATCTGAATACCTATATTACATTCCAGATTCTGAAGTTTCTTTCTTGGCTTCAGTCTACGATCAAGATTCAGGTGATAAACCACTCACAGCAAAGGTTTTCTTCAACAATGCAGAAGTTGCAACACAAGAAGTTGCAAACAGCAAAGATCTTAAGACATTCAAATTCAAAGTTCCAAAAGACACAGCAGCAGGTGAATATGAAGTCAAAGTCACAGCTACAGATGGCAAGAAGATTGGAACAAAGAAGTTCACAATCACAATCAAGAATAACACAGTTCTCACAATCTATTTCGAACCAAAACTTAATGCCACATACAACAAAGGCGACAAGGTCAACTTCACAGCTGTCATCAATGATCCAGATACAAACTTCGATAACAAGTTCACTGTTTCTCTGTTCTACAACGATAAAGTCAAGAAGACGATCACATCAACTAACGATGCAGGATTAGTCAGAGTTCCACTTGATTTCACCATCCCAACAACAGAAACAAACACAACAGAAACAAACACAACAGCCGAAATCAAGATCGTAGTCACAACACCAACCGAATCCTCTGAAAAATTAACAAATATCAACATCTATCAAGATGTTATCGCAAGTGATTCTGCTAAAGGAATTCTTACAACAAAAGAAGTTAAGCAAAGGAAGGCACTCATTGCCGTCCTCAGTGTCTTAGCAGTAATTGCAGTTCTTGTTGCCATTGTCGTTATTATTCTTTGGTTTAGAAAGTAAAAATCACGGATTTTTTTATTGTATTTATTAGGGAATTCATAGGATAAATTCATCAAATTACTTAATCACAATATTATCATGAGTAAAAAGTCTGAACGATGCAATGAAATCCGCACAATCAATTTTCTTCAACAATATTGAAGCATTCAAGGAAAAGTGGAGTATATATATACTGAATTTGATTCAGTTTCTTTTTATATGATGCTTTATTAGTAAATATTTCATAAAACATCTAAACTTTTATGCTTTACCGACTTTATTGGTATTTTTTTTATCATTTATATTTACTAACACCACATATTCACAATAACCATTTGGAAAACACACGAATATAATAGTTTTTAACTCTTTAATTTTCAAAATATAAAAAAATTTAGTCAAATTCCGTATAAATCAAACAAATCACCTCCAAATCATATTTATTAATAGTGATTAAAAGTAAAAGACAAAAATAGGTGTGTCAGATTTTTAATATCTTTTGAAACCAATTTTTCTCTACCGATTAAATAATGGATAAATTACAAATTCTAACATCCCAACTGCGGTGATGCTTATATTGAGATTCTTTTCAGAGGATTTTTTTTGCCTCTGGTTTTTGTAAAAATATTACCAAGCAGTTTTATAATGAATATTATTTTTGGAGTAAAAAGATTGAAAAGATTATTTGAATTTTCTGAGAAGGAATAAAAAATATTATTTATCAATTTTTGAAACAAAAAACTTTATTCAAATAATCGGAATAAGATACGCGGTCAGATCTATCTGTAACTTAGTAAATAATGGATTGAAATGAATTTTTTACTGAATAATTAAACTCAAAGATTATTTATGACAGCGATAATTAAATAAGGAGAAATTTCATAAAGATTAAGATATAGTGTTCTTATTTTTAGGTGCTTAAACATATATACTGCGTTTCATACATGCAATGACATTGGCAGAGAACTTTCAATTTAATTTTTTATTCTTTCACAAAAATATAAGAAATTCAAAACATTGAAAATTGAGAGGATCATCTTGACAAACTATAATATGATTTTAGCTATTGAAAACAGACTATAGTGCACAATGGTCTGAAATATTATCGATTCGTAAGTAAAGATGATTTTGAAAAACGACTAATAATACTTTTGAATTACTTTATTTTTTTTTGAATGCTTATTTTTGTAAAATCATATTATCATTTTTTTAAATGCTTTCCATATTACTTGCTCGATTTTCTCTTTCAGTATCAGCCAAATCCACTGGTAAGTATACATATATGCTCTATGATGATAGCGATTCTAAAACTGTCGAAATAATTGATAAACTTTGGACAAAAGTTAAAATTGATGGCGTTACAAAGAACATTGATGAAGCAACAGAAGTAGATTATGCAGTTGAAATAGAAAATCACCCTAATTTATTACATACACTTGTAAAACAGACAATTACAAACAAGGGTACTAAAGAACAGAAAATCGACCTTTGTACTGCCTTTAAATTCAGTGATATAGATAGTAAAGTTGATACAATAACTGTTCCAATGATCTTACAATCGTTCTCCAAAACCACCCATGGGTTTCAGATATAGGGTGTCCAAAGGTGTGTTTAGCACAAACCTGAATACTGCGAATAGAAATAAACAAGTTACATATATATAAAGTTTATTTAAATATAATCACCATTGGATTCAATCACGCGTTCGCAGCGATCGATCCAGGCTTGAAAGACACGCTTTAAATCATCATGAGAAAATTGCTCAAATTGCTCTCTTACAAAATTTTCAAGATCATCTGGACTCGCGAATTCGTGTCCTTCTGCTCTCTTTTTTAGCGTGCCGAATAAATAAAAGTCAGAGGGTGCAATATCAGGTGAATAAATTGGGTTTGGAACAACTTTGACATTGTTTTCCAACAAGTAATTCATTACCTTATGACTTTTGTGAACTCTTGAATTATCAAAATGAATTGCAAACTTTTGTTTTTGTTGTTTGGATTTCTCAAACTCATCAGAATTGATAATTTGAGTAAGAACATTGTCAATTAGATACTGAGCATTCATCGTATTAGGTTTTTGAAGAATATCAATTGCGATGATGCCATTCACGCCCCAAAAAACCGACAACATCATCATTGGTGTGTCAATTTTTTTCTTCGGGAATGTTTGCGGATTTTCATCCTTCGGGATCCACATGATTTTGGCTTCTGTTGCATATTGAAACCAAGACTCGTCCCCTGTTACTAAAAAGCGAAACTTCTTGGATTGATACGCACCCAATATAGAGAGGAGCTCTTTCGAAGATTGGACTCTAGATTTTTTTTGAACTGAATTAAGGTTGTGCGGAACCCAACGTGTATACGCTAGTTTGTAGTTCAAATAATTGTGCAGATAATAACTGACTGTTGTACGTGGTATCTTTGTCATCTCCTCTATCCTTCTGAGTGATGCTCTTGGGTCTTCATCTAGCGCTTGAAGAATTGCTTTGATTTTTCTTTGATCCGGCGATTTTTTGTCATTTTTTATGATGGGCGCCTTTTTTGTTCATGAAGTGATACATCCTAACATGATACGTTACAGTGGAATAGCTAGGAGCATCCATACCGAAGCATTTTACCAATGTCTAGTAGATTTTTTTACAGTCTTTGCATTTTTTTGCAAGAGCGAGGATGTTTTCTTTATGATTCATTAAAAAATGAAAAAAATCCCGCCAAAATTTCCCGCGAAACCGCCTCTTGTCTCAAAATTCATTTTATATCCCGGCATGGCGCCAAAATACAACATACTCATCATATACATATATTCATATTTTTTATTATATATTTATAATCAGCATATATCTCCTTTAATAGTCTCATATAGAGCGCTGTGCTAAACGCACCTTTGGACACCCTATATCAATGCCCAAGATTTCGGTTCAAATGATGAACCAAAGTTTTTCACAAACAATGAGGAATTCTTATATGCAACAGATGAAATGCCTACAATTCATTGGCTTTCATTTTCATGGCTTAACAGATACATTCAACCTGGCCAGTCAGTAACATTCATTTACATGATTTATGAAGGCGATTATCAGCCACCGTTTCTCTACCTTGACGAAGTTTTGCCAGATCAAGAAGCAGATATAACTGAAGATATACCAATTACTGGAGTCTTTGCATATATTATTCCAGGTGATCGTGTAGAAGCATATTGGCAATTTATCGATTCAGAAGGTAAAGTTGTCAAACAAGAGAGCCTTGGAGAATTTACTGTATCAATAGAACAGATGTTCATGGACTTTGATATCAAGATCAAACCACCTACAAAACTTGGCCAGTATATATTAAGAATTAATGCATATGCTGAAGGAACCGACTCCTTGGTCTATGTTGATTATCCATTTACTGCTGTCCATGCTAATTATAGACCAAAGTTGTATGTTCTTCCTCCTGAATATGTTTATTACATTTCAGATTCTGAAGTTTCTTTCTTGGCTTCAGCATATGATGAAGATTTAGGTGATAAACAACTCACAGCAAAGGTTTTCTTCAATAATGAAGAGGTTGCAACACAAGAAATTGCAAATAGCAAAGAACTAAAGACCATCAAATTCAAAGTTCCATCCAATACAGCAGCTGGGCAATATCAGGTTAAAGTTACAATTACTGATGGTAAAAAGATTGCCACAAAGAGATTTATCATTGTTATCCAAGATAATACAGTTCTCACAACTGCATTCGAACCACTAATCAACAAAACATACAATAAAGGTGATAAACTCAATTTCACAGCTGTTATCAATGCCCAGATACAAACTTTGATAACAAATTCAGTGTTTCACTCTTCTATAATGATAAAGTTAAGAAGACAATAGAATCATCTAATGAAGCAGGATTAGTTAGAGTCCCATTCGAATTAACGATCCCTAAAACTGAAACAAATACATCAGCAGAAATCAAGATTAAGGTCACAACACCAAATGAATCTGCCGAAAAATTTTCAACAATCACCATTCATCAAGATGCTGTTGCCACAGATTCTGCAAAGGGAATTCTTGCACAGAAGGAAGCTAAAAAGAAGAAAGCTCTTATTGCAGTTCTCTCTGTCTTAGCTGTCATTGCCGTTGTTGTTGCAGTAGTAGTTATTATTCTTTGGCTAAGAAAGTAAAAAATTACGGAATTTAAGTAAATTTATTTTCATTTATATTATGATTGAAATAATAATTATGAAAATATACAGTATATATTATGAAATTTGAGAGAAAGCTAAAATTTTCTTTAGATATGTTTTTTAATTAAAAATTATATTTCACAATAAGATAGTTATTTGTGATTAATATTGACTTAACGACTTCCCCATTTTGCAAACTTGTATTCCCAAAAATAATTGATATTATCTTAAAATCATGAAGAATACCACACAAAAAAATGTTCAACTCTTTATTAATAAAACACGAAAATTCCGCAAAATTTAAATTCCAGAGGATTTTGAAAAATGACTAATTCGCACATTTCTACATTTTGCAAATTTTTCGAATTATCTTTATAAATATTTCCAAAATATGATGACGTAAAAAATTAAAATGATTATTTTATTTCAGTTTTCTAAAAATACAAAGAGTTTATATAAATGCATTTTGAATAGCATTAAATCGGAGTATGTTTTACAGTCTAAACCGAAGGGAAAATATTTAGGGTTGTTAAAAATATCAAAAAAAAAAAAAAAAAAAGGTAGTGGGGCTTCCAGGCACTTCGTGCCTTCTAGCCCTGAAGATGTTTAGTATAAATGAAGTTCTTATATACGGGTCTTCCAGGAGCTTTTCACAAATTATATATGTTTTCATGTTTTGTCAAGACTTCTTCGTAATGAGTGTAAATGACCCAAAAATAATGTTTAGGGTAGAAGGTTAGATCTAACCTCTTTTCTAACCTCTTTTCTACCCTCTTGAATTTGTCAAGACTTCTTCGTACATGTTTTGTCAAGACTTCTTCGTAATGAGTGTAAATGACCCAAAAATAAAGTTTAGGTGAAGAGGTTAGATCTAACCTCTTTTCTAACCTCTTTTCTACCCTCTTGAATTTTCAAGACTTCTTCGTACATGCTTTGTCACTTTTCTGTCACTTTTCGAGTAAAAACATTTTTATTATTATATATAAATGAATTTTACAAAACCACCGTTACCGTTCTTTGGAAATAAGAGTAGATGTAAAGATATTATATTGAGAGAACTTAAGAAACTACCGAATGGTCTAACATTTGTAGATTTGTTCGGTGGAAGTTTCTATATATCCCATTTGTGCCATATAATATTCCCAGACTCAAAGATTATATGCAATGACTTCGACAACTATATGGACCGTCTCAAACATATACCAGACACAAACAATATATTGAAAGAGTTAAAAGAAAAGATACCTATAGGTAAGATGGAACGTATACCATTAGATAAGAAAAATATTGTGAGAGAGGTTTTGAAAAAAGCAGAATATATAGACTGGGATAGTATATCTGCTAGACTATTATATAGTGGTGCTATAAGAGTTCATGACATTGAAACACTTATGTCAAAAGTTTTATATCTTAACTATACAAATGTTTTCAAAGAGGACATAGAAAAATATATTGAGGGTATAGAGTTTGTGAGATGTCATTGGACAGAGTTGTATGAAAAATATAAAGACAAGGAAAATGTTTTCTTTATAGTGGACCCGCCGTTCTATAACACATGGGATTTTCAATACCAAGTAGACTGGACTTTGAGAGACTCTTTAGAAACTTTAGACGTTATACATAACCATCCATGCTTTTACTTTACATCCGATAAAAGTGGTTTGGAAACCGTTATGAGATGGTTAGAAGATATACATGACTATGAGTTTATATATGACAAGATAGAATATGAGAGAGGTCCTATAAACTGGAGAAAGTGTCATAACAAAGAAATTTTATTAGTAAGTAAATGTGGTTTGAAATAGGACTACTTGTTTTAGGTTTTTTCCATTGTGTCATTTATTTATTTGACGTGGCAGAAAAGTACAGAGAATATGAAGATGAACCAATGCCTGCAAATGTTCAGTATATGTACTCGTAAGAGATATTTTTATCTAATATTAAATGGACGCACAGAACTTAGCGAATGCACAGCAACCTGGACAACCAAACCCAGAGAATATTCCAAATGAAGTTAGAATACAAACTGCAATGGCAAACTATGGTCAAGTGCCAACAGATGTACAAATGCAAACTGCCATGTCAAATGACGCTGCGTTAGGTTTGCCACCATGGTATGCAAATATGAGATGGAAAGAGTTTTATACAAACCCTGAAGTGGGATATAAACAACTCTATGCAGATGACGCGAACACAGGAGTTGACCCAGAATATGTTTTCTACCAGAGGAGAAACAGAATGTATGAGCTCCAGTTAAAGAATGCTATGGAACTCAACAGGAAACGTAAGAGACTAGGTGGACATTAGATTTTTACATATAGTAAAATGGGGTTTCTTCAGTAGTATTGGAAACTTCTTCAGAAGAGTTGGAAGAGGTATATGGAATGGAATAAAATCTGTCGGAAGAGGAGTATGGAACGGTGTCAAAAATATTGGTAAAAGAGTAGGTCAGTTCGTTGGTATTATACCTAAAGACCCTGAACCAGAAGAGCAAGCTCCTGTTATACAACAGCCTGAACCTGCACCACAGTCTAGTTGGCAACCTCAACCGTATTAAAAAATTATATTTTTACCGTTCGATAGTAGTTGTATATGAAACTAAGTTCTAAGTAAAACGCATGGTATAATGGAATTATTCTTTTTCTTCCATCTGTAGTAAACCATACTTGAAAGTCTGAAATACTTCCACTTGGTGGTTCGTATAACTTTGTAGGTTTTTCGTAAAAGTCATTTGCCAAGCATAAGAAAGAGTTTTGGGCGCCAGAAAATGAAGCATGAACAATAATAGCAGCTGGGTCGAAAACATTTTCATATGTTCCATTAGGGTTTTCGACTTCATAATAGTCCGGGTGTACTGGATATGCTGCAGGCTGATTTAACATCCTCATAAATCTATACCATGCCAAGTTGTTATATTTTGTAGAAATATAAACGTTTTCTCCAAGGTCTTCTATTCTATTGATTTTAACAGTTGCATTTTTCCTGTCATAAATAATATCGAGATGGTATTCTCCCTCGTCAATGTTATACTGGTTTGCATATTCGATATAGATATCGTTTATTTTTTCTTGAAAAGCTTGAAGAGTTGTTTCTAAGTTTACAAGCAAACTAACTTGTAAAAGTTTTCCCTGTTCAAATTTCTCATACATACGTTTTTCTTTGTTATAGTATCGAACTTCAAAACCGACCGTAAATGGGAAACCATGTATGGCTTCTGAAATGAACTTCATTCTACGAAAGCCAATAGCTTTTGTGACGGATGGGTCTCTTAACCATCTTAATGGGTAGTCAAAACGATAGCCTTCATGCTTTACGGTATCTGTCTCAAACTTTTGACCGACATTAGTAAAAAGTTCATCTAATGGTTTAGTTGTAGCAACTCTTGAATTTTCTTTTTCTATTGGAAGCATATTTTATCTATAATAAAAATGTCGAAAGATATTGCTTCCATGAGAGAAATACAACACAACCGACAACTCATTATACAAGCTCTAAATAAGAACACAACAAACTTTTCAAACTATTCTAAGATATCTGAGTCATTGAAAGAAGGAAACTTAAAACTGACATTAAACCCAATGACAGATGAGTTTCTGTTTCAAGACAATAAGAACCATACTGTCTGTATAAATCCAACAAAAGGAACTTTAAACGAGAAACCTATAAATGAACTTCTTTTGAAAGCAGATGTTGACAACAAAGCTGACAAAGAATATGTAGACGATGCAATAGCAAAAGAAGAAGAAAGAGCTAACAATGCTTATGCAACAAAAGAACATACTCATCCTGAACTAGCAGACAAAACATATGTTGACAATAAAATGTCAAGTGAAGTGACAAGAGCTGAAAACGAATATTCTAAAAAGACTCATACACATTCTATATCTGAAATAACAGACTTAAACGTTAGCCTTGAAAATAAAGCGGATAAGGACTGTGTGGCTGCTGCGTTAGAGAAGAAAGCGGATAAGGAATATGTGGATGAAAAAGATAAAGAAATTATAGAAAGGGTTGAATGGTACCATGAACGGACAACAAAGATTTTAAAAACTAAAGCCGATACAGGATGGGTTTCAGGATGTTTAGACCTTAAAGCGGATAAAACTTATGTTAACGATGAGTTAGAGAAGAAAGCAGATAAGACTCATACACATACAAGTTTTACAACTGTTGCTATAGAAAGTATTGAAGGAACGGTTGAAGAAACTGGTGGGGATGCATTATATTGTAAACCTCCTAACTTTCCACAAGGTTTAACATCGGATGACGACATAACGACGATGAAAAACATTAGATGTAAAGATGTTTATGTCATGAAGGATGAACATAATATTAAATTCACTGCTCAAGATTTATATGACAAGAAAGCAGACAAAACAGAGCTTCAAACATTAAAGACAGAAATACTTCAAACATTATATCCTATAGGCTCTATTTATACGTCAATGAACTCTACCAGACCAGAAGTAGTACTTGGTTTTGGAACTTGGACTCAAATAGTCGACAGGTTTTTGTATTGTGCAAACTCTTCAAAGGAAACAGGTGGAAGTAAAACGATTTCAGGTGAAAATTTACCTGCACATAGTCACTACATAGATTTAAGTACATCTCAAGCAGGTTGGCATAAGCATAAATTTTGGGATTGGTCAGCAATGAAAAAAGGTAAAGGATATGATGTTAAAGACGACGTTCAGTTTGCTATAAATTGTTTCTGGGGTGACACTCAGGGAGATGGAAACCATACACATCGCGTTTCAGGATATACGCAAACAACGGGACAAAGTAAAGACTACATGCCACCTTACATGACAGTTTACGCATGGTATAGAAATGCTTAGTCGTCATTTTCAACTTCTTTAGCATATTCGTCAGGAGTTGTCTTATATTTGTTAGGAACTGTCTTTGAAAGTATACCACCTTGAACTTTGACAAGTTTGAAACGAGGTCTGACAATAGTAGTTTTATCTTCTGCTTGCAGTGTGTACATTTTGCCATGTTTGCCTAAAACTTCATAATATTCTCTTGTATACTTTCTTCTATTTTTACGAACACGAATGTGAGTACCTGTCGGTTCCCATTGTTGTCATAGTCAATAGTATTTTCATATGGGTCGCGTTTAGGTATTTCTATTTTTACTTTGTCACCTTTCTGAAGTTTGAAGCCCGGCATTCTTTCTTGTTTGTCTCTTTTGACTAAATTATTAAATATATAGTCTTTCTCTAAGTCAGGGTTGTTTTTCATTTCTTCGGGGAGTGGTTTCCCAAACCTTTTTGTTTACGGTTATTGTAAATATTTAAAACTTGTCTCATCTTTGCCATGGAGAAGTGTCTATATTTGTCGTCATATGACATTTCATTTGCTTCACCACCTTGTGGTTGGTTTAAGTCTCTTAACATTTTTATACAACCGTCAATGACACCAAGAGCAGAATGGTTTTGGTCGACAATGAAATATTGGTTTACATTTTTTGAACGCAGATAGTTTTTTACATCATCTGATTTGAAAGAACTTTCACAGTCAGATGTCAGTTTTGTTGGATGGTATTTGTCAACGAATATTGTCAAAGCTGCTAAGATATCTAAAATATTTTTGGACATAATGGTATGGCTTCACAGTATCTTGTGTTTTGACCAACAAATATTAGCCAGTATGGTGGTCCATCTTCTCTATACCTCGGAATGTTTTCCAAGATATCCATAAACCAAGCATTTGGTGTTGAACTAAAGATTTTATCATGAGTGCTTTCTTTGTCGCTTTAGAAACATAGGGGTCCTTGTTTGGATTCGTCATTTTTACCCTATAAGAAATGGGTTTATTTGGCGCATTAGCAGGAGTTGCATCCAGATTTTTACCCGCAGTGGGAACAATAGCCAGAGGTGCATTTGGAATTGGAAGGAAGATTTTGAGTACATTAGGTATACTGAAAGAGAAAGCACAACCTATTATACAAACTGTACAGAAAGGTTGGGAGGTAGCACGAGATGCAACAAATCTTATTCCAAATCCTGAAACAAGAGGAAAAGTTCAAGGATGGATGGACAATGTAGGAAGACAAGCAGGAAACTATTATAACAAAGCAAATGACTACTATAACCAAGCAGGACACTATATGGACCAAGGTGAAAGATTCTTTAACAGAGGATATAACCATGCACAACAATGGGTAAACAATAACCAACCGCAACCGCCTCAAACGTGGGGAATGTAAAGTTTTTTACTGAGATGAAATGAACAATACAGCATTGAGACAAATGGGTTCAAGATGGATTTGTCGGCTTCCAGCAGTTACACAACGTGTTTGTCAAGTTCTTCCTATACCTCAGGAAGTTTTAGACCGACTTAAAAACAACAACAACCAGTTGAAAACAAACCAAATTAAAATTTTTTACTGAGATGAAATGACCGAAGAAGTTGAAACGGTAGATTTGACACCACAAACAAAAAGTTCAGAACCATTGTCAAAACCTGTCAAAGAACTTACAGATGAAGAGAAAAATTCAATAATAGAAAGTGCCAGGTCTGGAAATACAAACCCTAACTATAAAGTCACTTTTCATAGAAATGGAACGGCTAGTATCTCAAAAAAGAAACAGACTCTCACAAATAAAATATTGAAGTCTGAAGGAGCTTTCGAGACAACAGATGGAAAAGTTTACTTCACTGACCAACAGTTCATTATAGAACATCTCATTGACTTAGAGTCGAAATATTCTAAACTTTACAACAAACACAAAAAGTTGAAAGGAAAACAAAAACAAATGGCATATGATATTTATGAAGATGTTGACGACACAACTGTTCCTGCAAGTGAAGTAAAGTCAGAGGAACCGAAAAGTGACGAAAAACTGATAGAAGAAGAAAAAACAAAAACTGAAGATAAACCAAAACCAAAGTTTAGTTTCCAAACTAAACCAAGTCAACCTTCATTAGCTGGTATGGGTTGGCGTCAAAGACTTATGGCAGCAGGCGGTTATGTAAAGTAAAGAAAAAAATATATTTTTTTATTTTTATAAAAATGCCCCCATATAGAATGGATAGAAAATCTGCTAGAATAAAAGCAGAGTTGCAAAGATATGGTTGGAGAGTTTCGAAGAAGTTTAAATATAGGAAGGGAAGACCCATAAAAGTCTATGACAAACTGGCTGGTCTTCGCTACGAAATGGATTTGGAAACAGCACGTGCCAATTATCCAAACAGACTAGAGAGGTTAGAAGAAGAACGTCTTATGGACATGCCTTTCGATGTTAGTGAACCTCAAGTTGAAGGACACGACGGCTTTGCCAGATTCTACTGGAAACATGACGAACAATTGCATCCTTTGAGAAGGAAAAAAGGTAGTGCAGAGGATGGTCATGCTCCCATGGAAAGAACAAGATATGCATATGAGAAGTATCGTGAAGTTAGAAGTCAAATTACTTCTGGTCGAACCTTTACAGTAAACTTTGACGAAGGAAAGAACAAAGAAGGCTTCATGGGAGTACTTGCTGCCATACAAGATGGAAATAAGAAAGGATACAATCTCAGATTGACCATAACAGATTTGGATGGTCACATTTACTATGCACATGGCAATGTCACAACAGCTGCAATGCTTCTTGACGCTTTCAAGACTACAAAGAGAGAACAAATGGTTGACTCCGACTCAGACATTTTGAATGCAATTGAAGGAATTGCAAGTGTCAAGTTCGAATGGTACCAACCTAACCCTCAAGCAGTCAGACAACATGCTGGATACTTCCCTTCATAAATAAGTCTGACATTGACTTGACAAGGTATGGAATTTACAATTCAATTGAAACAATTGTCAATGAACCTTGCATTCTTACATGTCTCAGGAACTCTGGTCTTGTTACAGAAGAGAAGATGAAGTATCTTGAGTCATGTGTGAAGACAAGGTACATTCTCAGAGGTCAATTGGCAAAAATTGCACCGTTGGCAAATGTCAATATCCGAGTCAACATACCTACAGCTAAAGGTTCTTCACATGACGACTATGTTGTTGAGTTCAATTTACCATGGTTGAAGATTGTAATTGTCCACAACCACTTCATGTTGAACGAAAGTCTTACAAACCCATTGTTCGGAAAAGGCAAGTGCAACATTGTCAGAGCTGTAAACATTCTTTTCGAGAAAGGTTTGTTGGAACCAATTCCAGATGACAAGCTGACAGAAACTTTTGTACCAAAAGACGAAACAAACTTTTCACTGTTAGCAAGACCAAAAGTTGTTCCAGACAAAGTTCTAGTACAAAAGAAGTACACAATTCCACAAGGAGTTGGATTGTTCGGATACCAACCTGAACCAGAAGAACTTCCAATGAGGTTGCAAGAACTTCAAGATGCTATAAACAAACTTCCATTGAGACATCCAATTGACGTCAAATTGTATTGGAGAGCTTCTGAGTTAGGTCAGAAGGTTTTATATGAAACAGGTTGCTTCGACGATGTTTATGAGATAACAGGAGAAGTTTCTCAGAAGATAAGAGACTCACTTGAATTTCCACAAACTGGACCAATTGGTTGCGACAAGTTCGACTCAAACGAAAAGATATACTATGTCGACCTTAACGCTGCATACATGAGGTTTGTCCAATATATTCCGACTGGAATTCCAAACGAAGATGGTGAGTTCCCGGGAAGGAACTATACAGTTGGAAAAGTCATACAACAACTGTATGATATTAGGAAAGCTTCAAACCCCAAACTTGCAATGACACTCAAATTGCTTATGAATTCGACATGGGGATATTCCATTAAGAAACCTCAAGAGATGAAGAGTAAACATTATGAGAAGGTCGACAACTTTGTTGAAAGGTTTTCTCCTTTTGTTTTGAAGTACGAATTCACTCAAGGTCAAAATGGCTTAGTAACCACATTAAAACCTATTGTCGAACATTGGTCTTACCCTCAGTTCGCAAAGGCAGTACTTGACAACTACAACAAATTCTTCTCCGAAGTCAAATCGAAAGTTGTGGTTTACTATGAGAACATTGACGCACTCATGACGAACGAAGAAGGCTATAACAAACTCATTGAAATGGGAATGGTCGGTGAAAAGATGGGCTGTTTTAAGCTAGATAAGGTATTTTCCGAAGTTCATGTCCTCTCAAGCGTAAGTACTGGGGCATACTTGAAGACGGCACAGAAATAAAACATTGCATGAAGTAAAAACGTTTTTCAAAAAAGTGACATTTTAAATTTTATTTGAACTGTACGCTGAGTTTGCTTATGTAAACACTAGAGATACAGATGGAAAATACGTTCAAATACTTCTTAACAAATTCAAGAAGCTATATGGCATACCATTTTAAAACAATATATTTTTACATATATTAAATGCTTCAGGTTGAAAAACAAAGAACAAAAGTAGCAGATACAAAACGTTAGACTATATCTTTACAAATGCTGGTAGGACTATTTCAGATGAAGAAATTTCATCCCGAGTATACAGGTTTGACTATCCAATTCGTTGGCTTCAAAGTCCTTCAGATGCAAAGGCAATAGGATTTTAAAGAGTTTTGTTTTCAAATAGAACTAACGCGTTTATGTTCGTAGTATATTTTCATGGGCAGTATAAAGGTTCTGATGGTCTAATAGACAAATTTGCCGAAATGAGAATCTTTACAGTTCGTTCAGACGAAAGTCTTGAGAAAACTCTAAATGACTTTCAAACTCAAATGAACAAATATTATTGGGAATTTCAAGAAAAATACGACTCTTTACTAAATGGAACATACTATCTGAAACTAGAATATGACAAGATGAACTCCACCGTTTCATTTCAAAAGATTGAAATTAACCCTCCAAGAGATACAGAGTTTTTATTTTGGGAAGTAGACAAACGTTCTTGGGCACAATTTCTTCGGTTACTAAACCAGAACGAACCATTACCACCAGATGGTCCATTTAAATTTATACTTCCACCAGCAGATTTGACAGTTTATAGAAACGTGTTTGACCCTCAAAATGTTATGTGTCATGCAAGTTTCAGTTCAAGCAACAATAGTTTTCTATGTATTGGTAAGGACTTTTATGACTTTGCTTCTAAATTCTACGAACCACCTAGTAACAGTTTCTCTGACTTTCAAGTTTGGTTCACAACAAATGGTGTGCAACATATTATTCCATTGTACTATGACTTTTATCTCGAATTGTCTTTCATATATAACTACGGAAAAGTGCTGAAAAAGTATTGAAAAATATATTTTAGGTGAAGAGGTGAGATCTCACCTCTTTTCTCACCTCTTTTCTAACCTCTTGAATTTTCATGAATTTTCATGAATGTTTTGTCAAGACTTCTTCGTAATGAGTGTAAATGACCAAAAATATAATTTAGGGTAGAAGGTTAGATCTAACCTCTTTTCTACCCTCTTTTCTACCCTCGTGAATTTTCATGACTTCTTCGTAAATGTTTTGTCAAGACTTCTTCGTAAAGGACCCAAAAATAATGTTTAGGGTAGAAGGTTAGATCTAACCTCTTTTCTAACCTGTTTTCTAACCTGTTTTCTACCCTCTTGAATTTTCATGAATTTCCTTAAGATAGAAAAAATAAAGTTAGTTTTTTTAAAAAAATATTTTTTATTTTTATTGTAAGAACATGTTAGCAACAACAGCACCAAACTCGTTAGTCATGAACCCAACTTCAATGTTAGTAGAGATGAAAAGCTTCATTCCTTCTTCATATACTTTCGAAACAGAAATCCAGAAGATAAAGCAAGAACTTTTAACAAGTAATTTAGACTGTAGTGCGAAAGATGAAACAAATGAACAGTATCTTTATGAAATGCAGGACATTATTGACCATTTACCCAAATTGCCTGAAATCCAACAACAAAAGCTCACTATTCCTGAATTCGACGAAATTGAAGTCAAAGCAACTGACTCAGTAGAAATAAAGAAGTTCATACGAAAGGTTAACTATGAATTCCTTGGTTTTCATTGCAACCATAAAGTTATGGACAAAGATTGCGACATGGTATATAAGAACATCTCTGACATATATAAATCGGTGGAGTTTAAGACCTACGACAACTTTGTTTCGTTAGTTGCAAAATGTGTATGGCAGATAAGAGATAAAGATAAAAGATGTAAAATATGGAATGAACAAATAAAACCCGCAACTTTTGAGTTAAAGAAAACCATTGACGCCTTAGTTGTTTTAGCAGGTAAGGTTTCAGAATATAACGCAAAAATGAACCCACAATGTTCAAAATGTAAAGCAGCAATGAGGAAATATAACTACTCCGTCAAAGAGATAGAAAGAATGCGAAACGACTATGCAGACTTAAAGAAAGAAGTAGAGAAACCAGCAGAAGATAAAATGAACATGTTAGAATTTCTGAACAAAAACTATCCAACAGCAGAAGATTTCCTTCTATCTGATGTCAAGAAGAAGTATAAAGAAACTTTCGGCATTGTTAAAACATTCGATGTACTAAAAGAAGAAATAGAAGCTACAAAACTGTTTAAAGTCTCACGAATTCATAACGTTTACCATGTAAAACGCTTATAAAATAACTGGGGTAGAAAAGAGGTTAGAAAAGAGGTTAGATCTAACCTTCTACCCTAAAATATATTTTTATTGAATTCAGCAACAAAATTCTGAGTAAAATAATTTTTAGGGCTTGTGTCAAACCGTTGAGTTTTCACAAAATTCCAAAAATAACGTTTACCATGTAAAACGTTTATAAAATAACTGGGGTGAAAAATTAGGTGAAAAAACAGGTTAGATCTCACCTCTTCACCTAAAATATATTTTTGTCTGATTTACGCTCATTACGATGAAGAAGTCTTGACAAAACATTTACGAAGAAGTCTTGACAAAACATTTACGAAGAAGTCTTGACAAAACATGTACGAAGAAGTCTTGACAAAACATTTACGAAGAAATCATGAAAATTCATGAGGGTAGAAAACAGGTTAGAAAACAGGTTAGATCTAACCTTCTACCCTAAAATATATTTTTGCTGAATTCAGCAACAAAAATCATGAATTTCCTTAAGATAGAAAAAATAAAGTTAGTTTTTTTAAAATATTTTTTTTATCTTGTATGTAAGAACATATATGACAAACATTGAGTTTGAAACAGTTAGAAAGATAGACAATGACACCAAAGTGGTTAGAATAGGTGATTTAAACGTAAGATACTCAAAGAAATACAACAAATATTCTTTGTCAGACATTCTAACACTATCTGGAAAGAAAACATCCCACGACTGGGTTAGAACTGCTTCTACTCAGAAAATTTTGACAAGAAATCCTGAGCTTATGATATCGGTAAGATTCTATGGAACTACAGCATATCTTATAGACAAAAGTCTTATACCAATAGTTTTGTTATGGTTAGACCCAGTTGTTGGATATAACTTCATAACATATGGTTCATTCGATACGGAACGTTGCAGTGAAGGCTTACTTTACATCGTTCAGAAACCGAAGGACTTCAATACAAAGAGATATAAGATAGGAAGAACATATAATATAACTCAAAGATATGACAGTACAGTCAATAGAGTCAAGGTTGTGTTTGTTAACGATATGAGAGCTGCAGAAACAGAACTACTTGAAAAGTTTGAGAAAATGTATGGTGCTCCATAAAAGGTAAAGAAACGTTTGAAGTAGATGAGATAGATAAAGCTATAAAATTATTTGACGAAGTTGCTGAAAAATACATGTAAAGCGTTTATTTTTGGTCTTTTGTGAAAGTCAGAAAATAAAGTTAGTTTTATTTTTATTTATTTTTTTATTTTGTATGTAAAGACAGATATGTCAACAACAGAGAACACAACAACAGTTATAGTCCATGAAGCTATAAATGAAGAATATGAGTGGGTTCAGTTTAACAAACAACTCCGTCTCATTCGTTCGGTCAAAGACGATATGTACCAAATGCAAAGTATTTTGACAGCATGTTTTGCTCCAGATACTAAGAAACCACAAGACTGGTTTAGGAACCAAAGCACTATTGAACTATTAAATGAAGCTGAAAATTCGACTACGGATTTTCTCGTAGTCGCAAAAACTCGAGTAGGTAAAAAACCGCAGTCGCCAAAACTCTATGAAAACAGTGAAGAACAGCGAGTAGGTAAAAAACCCCAGTCGCCAAAACTCTATGAAAATCGTGAAAAATTGCCAAACGGTTTGAGAGGATATTATGTTCATAGACTTCTTGTAAATGCTGTAGCAATGTGGGCTTCGCCTCGTTATGCTTGGTATATTTACAGACTTCTTGACGAAATTCATAGACAAGAACGTGAAGAGATGGAAAACAAGCTTGAAGCAAAAGACAAAAGCATTCAGAAAAGAATACCACGTTCGGTACCAAAAGGTAAGGAAAAGAACTATAAGTATATGATTTATACTGAAGAGATGGAAAATGAAGAAGATAAAGATATGGTTATGTTGCATTTAGTCAGAAGAAACAACAAAAGCTTTTACGACCTTGCTAAGATTTACAAATCTGACAGAAATTGGTTCTATCGCGAAAACTTACCGATTTCAATGACCCCAAATGAAGATGTGAAACAAATAGTTCAAGATACTTTACCTCAAACACACTATGATATGAAAGGTTGTACAATTCTTACCTTCAAAGAAGATTTGCCATTGTTAAAGGAAAAAATAACAGAGTATTTTGACAACTTCAAACAAGTAGAGTAAATGAACCATTTATTTTTACGCTTGACTTCAGATGGCTCAGGTAGCTCAAATTAGGTAAATTGCCTCGTCAAATCCTTCTGGCATTCCGAGTCCTTCCTTCCTACAGGAAGAACTCTTCCTTCCTACAGGAAAAAATTTTCCTTCCTACAGGAAAAATTTTTCCTTCCTACAGGAAAAAATTTTCCTTCCTACAGGAAAAAAATTTCCTTCCTACAGGAAAAATTTTTCCAGTTGTCCGACCAAAAAACATTCAAATTTTCGAAAATTGAGAACTTTTTGGTCGAACTTCAGGAAAAAATTTTCCTTCCTACAGGAAAAATTTTTCCTTCCGACAGGAAAATATTTTCCTTCCGACAGGAAAAGTTCTTCCTTCCGACAGGAAAAGTTCTTCCTTCCGACAGGACACAAACGAATGTCCGTACGTACCACCAACCGACAGCCCCAAAGCCAGAAGAACCGACAGCCCCAGCACCACAACAGACTTACTAAGACTAAACACTTAGATTTTTCAAGCTTGACTTTTTACAATTTGAACTTTGTTTGCGTAGATATGAATTCTGAAAGAAGTATGAGGGTCTTGTATGACTTTGTACTTCTCCCATAGTTCATGTCTGTCAAACTTACCTGCCATGGACTCTTTCATAAGTTCCATGAAATCGTCTTCGGACAATCCGGGGAAAAGTATAATGTCAGTAAGTATTCTCTTTACATCCTTACTTAAACTCTTTGCTGTCTGTACACAAATGACAACTGAGATGTTAAAGTGTCTGAGCTTCTTAAGAATTCGACACATATCTTGTTCTCTGTTCTTTAACAAAGGATGAGAGGCGAAATCATCTAAGATAAGAAGACATCTATGAGGGTAAGTCTTCCAATCGTAAGATTGCAATTTCTTCGAAATGTATTCTATCTCTTTCTGTTTGTTTCTGAAGTGTTTCTTCTCTAATATTCTCTGCATTTCCTCATTTGGGTCTTTAAACTTCGAATTTATATACTCATTTATAGCATTATACTTCAAAACTCTTCTTTGGTACTTCTTTATCCAATCTAACAACTCAGAGTCTTTTATACATACTAACTTAGACTTCTTTATAATATCTTTGAACGAATTGACGGTTTGGTCAAATTGACCAGAAGTACTACAAATAACAACTAACTCATAGAATGGGTTCTTCTCATCTAGTTCTTGTTGCTGTGCAGCCATTTTAAGATAAGTGAAAGTCTTACCCGACCCAGGTGGTGCAATTAGACCTGTTATACCATTCTGAGCAAATAAGAACTTGTCATGTATGGGTTTTATCTGAGCATTTTCCAACTTCCTCTTGTTTCTTGTTTAAAACATTCTCAAATTTCTTGTCAATGTCAGCAAACTTTTTTTCTAACATATTTTTAGAAAAATTAAAATTTTTATCTTTTTGAAAATGTCTAGCGATTTCGCTATCTATATCGAGACAAACTTTTCGACAGCAAACATCTGTCGACCATAAAATCTTACATAGTGTAAACAAGAAAGGTGAATTTGTTCTAAAGTTCTGTTTCTGGGAATATGACAAGAACCATAAAACATTACAAAGAGCAGTCTTAAAATTTGTCAATGACAGACTTGTTGACAGAGATGACGCCGATTGGAAAGATGAAGTCCAACAAAAGTTCTTAGAATGCAAAGAAGGCACATGCGCTGTTCTTGAAGATGAAATAGAAAACAGAATAGAAGAGCTATTAAAGGACAAAGAACTTTTACATAAATATGGTTCTGAGAAATTTGACATAACTCCACCAGAAAGAAGAAGAAGAGAGAAAGGAAAGAAAAGAAAGTAGAAGAAGAGAAGAAAGAACCTGAACCAGTTCCAGAGAAAAAGAAATTTGACATGTAAAAATAAAATTTTATTTTTAGAACATTTCTGGGTCAATGTCAATGTTCTCTTCCTCTTTAGGAGTAAACACTGGCTTAGACTCTAAAATCTTTTTACCCAATTTACCTTGAACTTCAACTATCTTAGACTCATAATATTCATAGTCGTCTGCTTTCTTTGGTTCATAAGGTATAACAAGTTTGTATGCTTTACCTTCTTCGAGTTTTGAGAACTTTCTGTCAAAATTTTCTTTGACTGTTAACAAACCTTCTATGTCTAAGTCTTCAAATTTCGCACCATTTTTAGTCACAATAGCAAACTTAACTGGTGCAATGTTCCAAATTTTGTCAAATGTAGACTTTTCAAAATTGTAGAAGTAAACATTCAAATATGTGAATGGAGCTAACTTATCTTTGACTTCTGTCATGTACTTGTTTACTGAGATGAATTTCGTCATCTTTTCTATCGGATAAAAAATATTTTTTTTAAAATTTACTCAGAAAAATTTTTCTTTGTATATACACCATTCTGAACATCTAAAAGACTTTTGACATTTGCCAAGAATGTACGTTTAGACGCTGCCATATAACCATATTCTTGACAATATTGTTTATACGAATCGTACAATGACCTTTCATCTAATGACACAAAGTCAGTTTCATCTATGAACAGTTCATATACACTCTTGTTTGCTTCTAACAATGTTTGTCTCTCTTCGGTATGTGGAATTTGTCTTGGATTGAACTTAGAAATATCTAATGTCATGAAATATGAGAACAAGTGGTTGTAAAAGTCAGATGTCAAACATTCTGACAAAGCGTCAAAATATTCTGTATCTTGCATATGAGAATCTGACGTTCTGACAACTACATATCTTCTGTCAGAACTTTCTAACTTCATCGGAACAACATTGTTTGAAACCATAATGAAGTTTGCAACATTTTCACAAACTCTTTTGGTCTTTATATTTTCTTTCAACAACTCCAACTTTGTCTGTTATAAGACTCTTCAAAGCATCTGAGTTTCAAACTTTTGTTGTATCTATACTTTGAAGTTCATTGCAAACTATAAGTTTCATATTCTCAATTGAAGAGTTAAACTTGCCACAGATGTTTTCTAAGTTTGTCATATTAGGGTTCGAATAACCTTCTAACAGTTTGCATAAGATATCTGTAAAAAGTATTCTTACCAGTTCCTTGTTTCCAATTATAATGAGAGCAGTTTCATTTTAGCACTTGGATGTTGTAAGATGTTTGCAAACCAACATAAGATATACTCATAAACCTTTTCGTTTCCATTGCATATAATTTCTTTGACATGGTCTAACCAAGCTTCTATAATACTGTGTTTCCATTCTACTTGTTCGTATTTATATCCAGTGAAGATAGAATAGAAGTTTGGAGAAGGTGTATAGAACTTTATACCTCGAACTGAAAAATCTTCTAACTTTGACAATAAGATATCCCAAGCATCTAACATCTTCATGCCAACTTGTACGACTTTTATTTTCTTAAGTTTCTGTCTACATTCTTGTTCTGAAACTATTGTTGCTCTTGGTTTGTTAAAGACAACATCCCATTCTTTCATGACATAACATTCTGGGGCAGAGTCGACATAAATGACTAAACGTTTCAAATTTTCGACTGCTTTGTTATAGTCTCGAAATGGACACATATTTCTGAACGCTTGGAAGTCATAAAAATCTGAAACATCTATTCTGTACATTTTTATAAAAATAAAAAAATTATTTTTTATTCTTGACTTTGTTGTTCATTTGTTGCATTTGTTGTTCTTGAGCTATTTGTTGTTGAAGTTGTTCTTGTAATACAATACTTTCACCAGTTGCATCTTCCAATTCGAAACTTTCTGCCGTCATTGACAAATACATAGGACATAAAAGTTTTACAGGAACAAAGTTTGCGTCAACTAATGTCAACGTTATACTTGCCAAAGTGTTTGAGTTCACTAAGGTTGAAAATTCTGCATTCGAATGAACAATAGGCAAACCAGCAGAGAAAGTATTGTTTATACGCATAAGTATCTTTTGGTCATAATAGTTTCTGTCGACATTCGAATAAACACTTTGAACCTAAGTTTGAAACAATATATAAGATTGGTGTGCTTAAAGTCAATGGAATAGACATTCCTTGTATGACACCTTTTCCTGTTATAGGAAACTGTTGGTAGTAAAAACCAGAAATAAGTTTTGTATTATAGCTCATATCGTTTATAGTAAACTCAGTCGGACATCCAAACATAATGAAACCTGCTCTAGTTGCAGCACATGTTACACCCGTACTTAAAGTATTAAATAAGTCAACAAAACCTGTTGGTGGTATATCTGAGTAAGTATCTTCAAAGGAGTATTTTTTACCATTCACAACAATAAAATCTTCTGGTGTCAAAAGAGCAAAAACAGGCTTTAGTCGTCATTGTGTTTAAGGTTAGTTTACAATATCGTCCTTGAGGACTTTGTAAGTTTGTTGTTATAGAATTATATGACTCAGGGTTTTTAGTCGTAATAGTATAAACCATTATGTCTTCTGCCATTTATATATATTTAAAAGTTTTTCTGAAAGTGGAGAAGAACTTCATCTAAACTTTCACATGGCGTTTCTTGAAGTTCTCTGTCTAAGAAGTTCAAATATTTTGTAAAGACATAGAACTTTCCTTTGTCTACACGAAAAACAAAACAGGGTCTTTCATATCGTTCAAAAGTGTGTAAAGTCCTTTACATGAAATAAAGTCTATATTATTTTTCTTCAAACATCTTTCAAGAAGTTTTGACATTTTTACTTAGCAAATAAATTTTAATGAAATGTTGTGGTCGTCAAATATTTTTTATAACGTCTGGGAAACTATATTTTAAGTTCAACGTTTCACCTCCTTTCATAACGTATATCTGTCAATGACATTATATGAAACACCACAGCAACTAATGTCGGGTTCTATTTCTTTGATGTTTATATCGTCTGCCTCTGTCAAAAGTTTCAATAGTTCTTTCAAAACTTCATGAGGTGCAATGACATATGAGTTCACTTTTACAGGGTTGTGTTCGACCAAGTTTAACATTATACTTAAAGCTTGACAAATCTTTCTCCTGAGTTTTGAAGTTTGTCTTTCAGTTGTTGGTATCGTTTCGAATATCTGCAACAGAACTTAAGTCTCTGCTAACTTCAGGATATGTTGGTTTTTTACAGGAACAATTGTTATACCATCTTCGTCTTCGTATGGTTTCCCCACTTCAACATCTCTGTCTTTGACATTGACAACAACACTTTGACTGTTTGTTTGAGTTGGTGAATTTAACTTCACATCTGCCACCGCCATTAAACCTTTTGAAAACACTTACGCTTCTATTTTCGGAAATGACATTTTACTTAATAAAAAGATGGACGTATTGAGTATCTCTTCGAATTGAAGCAGAACAAAGTTTACACACACAAACAATACAAGTTCATTGACAGAATAGTTCTTTACACAAACAATGGAAAATGTTATAGAATAGCAGTCTTTGCTGAACCAAAATATTTTCATAAAGCAAAGAAAGTTGGTATAACTGAAATGGTGAAAGTTCTTGAAGCAGACAAAAATATAACTTCAAAACTTACAGATATTTCTAAAGGAAAGTTTATAATACAATATTATGTCAAAACTGGCGTACTGTCAATATTTGACGGAGAGAAGTCAGTTCAAGAAAACTTACTGACCTGCTGCCAAAATCTGCTCGATGGAAGCTGTCGTTATGCCAATCTGAGGAGCCCCAGCAGGTTTCATCGAACGAATCTTCAAAAGAGCATCTTCCGTGAAAAGTTGCTATTGGTTTTGTAAACTTCTTTGCTTTCAATTCATGGACCGTCTCTGTCACAGTATATTGTATTTGAACTGTACCAACAGTTGAAATACCACCCATAAAGTCTTCTGAGTCAGCAAATGGAATGCCAAGCCAAAAGTTTTGAACGGTCTCCATTTGTATATTGAGTTTTTTGACCTCCTGTATGAGTCCATACTTTCACATATGGCATAATAGAACTTTGCATTTCAGGGTTAATGGTTGTTGTGAAGTTGTTGTTAAAGTTCATAGCATCTAATGTCAAGTTGTATGACCTCATATCTCAACTGTAGAATATTCTTTCTTGGATAATATTTGCCATCTATGTTTATATGATATTTAATACCAGGGTTGTAGAAACAAGAATAGTCATTTATAGTTCGTCTGAACAGTACAAACATAGTAATCTGCATGTTTCATTGCAGTTGTTAAAGCAATATCTGTTCTTGCACCTGGGTCAGCACTTTGGTTTCCAACTTCACTGCAAAGTCTTTGACAGATATTTGGTGTATAGGGAACATAAGTGGAACTGCAATATATTTGGCAGCTAAAGCATTTGAAATATCTGGATCCAACATATAAACGGCAAGTCTGCTTTCTATTCTCTTGCATTCAAACTTTTCGCATGTGAACTTAACTGGGTCCCAAGCATCTCCAGCAGCATTGAAATAATAGTTTACTTCAGTGTTGAAGTTTGAGAAACCAAAGTCTAAGTCAACTTTGTCTTTGGCAAAAGTCACAGAACTTGCTCCACCAGTTCCAGCTACAGTAATAGTGAATGGGTCTTGTGTTGGTGCAATGACTAATTATTTTTGCTTGGAGTAAGTTCAATAGAAATTTTTCCTGCCCAGTTTGGTAAGTTATCTTAAAAACCTGAAGATGAGGAAAGATGACAAAGGAACTCTAAGTTTCAGTTTTACTTTGGTTACTGCTGCTGCAGTTTGTCCAGAAAGGTTAACATAAACTCTGGAACGTTAGGGTCAAGTCTTCTTATTTTCTCATAGTTGCATACTGGTCTGTTTGTTCTCTAGCTTGTGGTTGTACTGAGTTTCTCAAAGCGAACCATTCATAGTTTGCCCATGTTACTGTTTGAACTAAGTCAGAGTTAGAATATATCTTATATCCCATGAAAACTTCTGGAGCATATTGGTATCCGACATAGAAAATTCCATTGCAACCTTTCTTGTCAGACAACTTGGCAGAAGGTTTTATTTCAATGTCTTGTTCCACGTATAAGAATGAGTTGTCAATAGAAATAATATGAAACCTGTCGCATGCAATATCTACTGTTGTTGAAGAACCTTCTCCAAACTCACCTACATTTCCATAAGAAACAGCAGTTGTATATTCGTAAGTTCCAGGAACTATTTCTGACCTTCTAATGGCATTGTCGCATTCGTTATACCATTCGGAAACATTTCCGTTCATGGCATCCAAAACTGTTGGCGTTATATTCTGAGCGGCGTACATTTCATATGGGTAAAAATATAGAATAGTTGGATTTATATATCATAATAGAACCCACT